GGGCGGGGCGGCAGCCAACCGCGGGCCGTGCCGCGCGCCGAGCTGCCCCCACTCCCGAGGCCGCCAGCCTATCGCGAGCCGCGCGCGCGCGCCCAGCTCGGCCAATGGCGGCCCGGCCTGCCGGCGAGCCATCGATCCCGTGACGTCACCGCTGACAAGGAGCCTGTGGTCCTGGGGGCGCGCGCCTCCGCCCGGCGGGACCCGGGCCCGAGGCATTATCGGGGGGTTTTCATCCTTTACTCCGAGAGAACAATACATTGTAGCTCATCCATAAAAAGGGAATTGCGCCTCTCTGGGCGCGTAATAGGGAATAGCCGTCGGCCGGCCGGCACTTCCAGCCGGTCGCGGCGGATTACGGCTCCAAAGCCCGCAGCGGCCGCCAGACTTCGCTGGTATCTATTCCGTTATCGCGACTTAAGCAGTGCAGAAAATACAAATTTCGGTTTGGGCTAGAATGGATAGTTATCTCAAACTGGATGCAATGATATTTTTCACGTCCACCTCAAGATCGGTGTGAACGCTTTGGAGCGAGATTTTTGGGACGTCCGCATGGCTTGGCCCTGGTTTGACCATCACTAGACGGCCGTGAAGAAGTTTGAGCAGCGGTCCGCTCTCCCGGCCGCTGCACGGGCGGCGCGGCGAGTAGAAGAGCGCCTGTAATTCGTCACATTTGAACAGATCCAACAATCGGTGGCGCGGCGTGGTGTGTGATTTGGGCGGCACACAGGAGGCCGCTCGCTGAGTCACGCCGCACAATGAAACTGAACGGAGCTCATCGGCTCAGCTGCTCAAAGACAGTAGCGCCGGGCCGCCCCGCCCCAGCAGCAGGCGCCCCGCCCCGCCCCGCCCGGAGCAGGGGCGGGCCCGTGCCGGCCGAGCCGCCGCGCCGGGGAGTCATTTAGCCAGGCTGTTGTTTTTAACACCTCCACGAGCCCCTTTCTCACGGCCAGTATCGCCGCCGCCGCCTCCTTCCCCCATGAGTTGCAGACTCACTGCAGCCCCAGGAGGAGGTTGGCGTCAGAAGCAGCCTCAGCAGCCCAGCGGCCGCTCGCAAACTGGCCCTGACCCTGCCTAAGCCGCGTGACTTTGGGGGAAGATCCAAATATTCTGGGGTCCCAAAAGAAGCAGCGCGTTCATAGGAGTTCACAGGGGCCCCATGAATTTTGTACCACGGGATACAACTGACATAGAGCTCTTATTGACACCAATTAGCTCCCACGTCATTTATTGGAACCCATCAGATATGGATCACCCGTAAAGCCAGTAAAGTCACGCGATTTGGGCCCCAGCACCCATTCTTCAAGGTTCAGTAAGAAGGCTCACAGATAGATCCTCCTGCAACGCGCTATAGGTAGGTGGTGAGGCGGCCGCTGTGAGCTGGCCAGTCGGACGGGAAGCGGCTGATTCCACGTTACGAAAATTGAGGATATAGATAATGAGGGCGTATCCAACCCAAGGTGGGGCGTCGCGACGGTTATGGTTGGGCCCCTCATTGCGATCAGTTGTTGTTCACCAAGGCCTGCTGCTGCCTGTCTGCTGCTGGGACTGGCAAGATAAATAATCGACTTATGTCAGCCTGGTCAGCGGGTGTGTTTGGCGGCAGTGTTTGTATATATACGCAGCACACATTCAAAGTGAAAATGATACTCCGAGACAAGAGTGAAACAAAAATGGGAATAATGAGATGCTTTCCTTCTGAACGCCACTTACCGCGTTGGAAAGAAGCTCTCTGTGTAAAAGAGTTCAGAGCCTGAGGCGGATCAGGGTGGTGACTCACACTCTTGAGCCCTTTGCGGGGCCGATGCAAAGCCAACGTGTCATTTCTTCTTGTTTTTCTTCTTTTCCAAGTCCCGAAAGCCAACAACGCCCCTCAATAAGACTAATGAAAAGTTAGCCCCGGCAGCAGGCGTGGCGCGGCGAGGACTGAAGTCGTGTCGTACGTGACCGAGTGCTTCCAACAGGTGAGTGCGTGTGAGGTGATCGCACGCCGTTTTTTAACTTCCCAGATCAACTGACGGGCTTCAAGAGCTCATTTCAAGAAGAATAAGCGTTCATATCGTGTAATTGTTCGATTGTAAACGTAAACGACAGTACTGTTCGCAGTGATGTGAACTTCAAAGTTATACGATCGGTGTCCATTGTCCACAAAAATAAGCAACAGGGAAGAACACAAACCCCTCAAGTCCAGATTTTCTGTTATTTGGGATTTGTCCTATACACTATGACCTTGCTTCAGGGAGAGAAAGCAACAAAGACTCTGCTGCGAAGGTCGCGATTTTCTTCGTAAGTTTTGGATAGCGTTCTCTTATTTCCTTGGAAATAATGGACTTCCTTCTGCTTTCTCAATGTACACCATGTAGGGGTGGCAGTTTCCCCGCCCAACTCCTTTCGCCCTTATCCCCTTCACGAAAAAAACAAATGAGGCCCCGGGCCGTTCATTCTTGTAAATCACGCACTGCTGCGGATGCCAAAATAGGCCCGGTTGCAATCATAAAATGCTCCGTTGCCTCCTTTACGGGCCGGATAGGCGGGCGGCGCCCGGGCGCGCGGCCTCGCAATGGGCCTAGGCACAATCTGAACTCAAGGTGATTACGGCTAGTTTGAGGTTACATGTAGCGTGTCGTGTGTGAACACCGCAGCTGCTGTCGCTTCTGCTGTGGTCGCTCGGGAGGCGGCAGAGGCGGCGGCACTGCATCAACAAGCGGAGGCAAATAAGCTTATTCTCAAAAGGTGCCGGTGCTGCTGGCCGGGCGCCGCAAGCACACCTCACAAATACGATTTTAACCAGATAAAAAATTATGAATTGACGTAGTACCGCGAGCTGCTTACTTTTTTTCGGGGGGCTGACCGCGGTATGCTTCTTTCATGCACGCAGAAACTGTTTCACTGCCATCCTGCGTACAGCCTCACGCCTGGGCCGCAGCAGGGAGCCCCGCACTTCATTCACACTGCGGGAGAGTCGTAACCCCAAAAAGTAATTGCCGCGCGTACACTTTTCATTTTCGCCCAGGTAAATTGACTGCATCATGGCGTTGTGTGTTTACGAGGTAATCGCTAATCAGGTCCACAGTATGCATTGCGCTTCCCACGTTATACGACGCGCAGGGTAATGAAGCATACGGAAGGTGTGGACGAGGCCCGCGCCAAAGAGGAAGCTGATGCCATTACCAGCAACACGTATAAACTAATAGGGTAGCTAATGCGGCCTGACAAGATTAGCTTCGTACAATGTAAGGAGCTTGCTTGCATCCTGCTGCTCCCGGGTCGCTCAAGGAGCGAATATAGCCCATTTGTATGCTCCAGGCTCGGCCGCCAAATATCGTAAAATTTAGCAGTCCGTGACAACTCGTCAGCGATAGAGGCCGTTTTCATATACGGCGTGACTTTAAAAGGGGGGGGGGGGGCTATACAAAAATATTATAGTGTCCGAAAAAGATAAGAACTATCACTGGAGTTCAAAGATGGACCCCTTGATATTTTTGGACCCCGAGGAACAATTATTCACGGAGTCCTTCTACGTCGACGCGTCAATTAAGTTTTCAGGCGCCATGCGCACCTTGTCCGCCGCCTCGCCTCGTAGAGCAAAGAAGTCGCGCGATCCTTTCAGTCGGACGTGAAACAGCAGTGCTGCGTCGGATCGACGGCGCCTCTCTTGGAAAGGACGCATATTCTCCCCGGGGAGACATCTCTCGCAGCGCGCGCCCCTCTGTCTCCCTCCCCTTTCAATCAGGAACAAACCGTGTTATCAAGCCAATAACAGTCGGACTCACGTCCTCTGAGCACAAAGCCTGCTGCAGGCAAGGGGCCCCCTTGATCACACGTAGGGCCCCTTTGTTTTCGCTGCATGCACGTGCACGGCCGTGCGCGTGTGTGAGTGTACGTGTCGCAATGCGTGCACCGCGCGCCACACACGGCGAGCCCCACAAAGGAGTGAATGTCACATCGAACGCCAATAGCGGTTTAGAGAATGCAAAGTGTCCCACCATCCTTTGTCTTTTTGCCCCCCTCCTCCAACATTCTCTGCTGCGGTGCGGCGGACCCCTTCTCCCCGGCAGAGTGTGTTCCACTTTCTTCGTGTTTTATGTATCAGCCAGTGACCATAAGTAAGTGCCCATATGCCGGTCGGATGGAATGCACCCTCTTTCGGACCGTGTTCAACCTCGACAGGGGCGGACTGGCCCGCCCGTGTAGACCGCGAAAAACGGGTGGGCCCCCCCTCCTCGGGGGCCCCTTGGGGCCCCGGAGGGGCCCCCCGGGGCCCTTAGGGCCACGCACTTATTTCGCTTTTAAACAAGTACTTGTCCGACAGGGCTGCAGGTCGCTTTCTTACCAATCTCACTCAAAACAATAGCGACTTTGCTCCCTCCTAACCATGAATATGTCTATTCTCAATATTATCTTGCGGTCTAAGAACAATAATACTTCGTATTTACCATGTAAAATTAAAAGAAAATGGTGTAAAATACACGGGTTTCGTTCTAGCTTCCACTTAGCTTCGCTCAGAAGTGCAAATTTCCTTTGGGCTTAAACGGACTTACAAGTAATATTCTAGGAAAGGGGAAAGTAACCTATTCCTTCTTGTGTTTCTCGCATTAAATGGCCAAAAATTCAGGCTATATGACTAAAAAAAATCTCGCTCGCTTCGCTCGCGAATTATTTCATTTATTGCACCTACTATTGAGGTCCAGCGCGCCATTAAACATTAACCTGAGTCGAACTTACTTGATAGATTTTAAACGGTTTGCATTTCAACCGCTCCAACCAAAGGCACATTGTCTAAATGCCATTTAGCTGACTCTTGCCCCTACGAGGTAGGCAACCCGCACTACATCGGGGGCCCCACGCTAAATTTACACGGTCAGCCACTTGACCCCC